ACCTGCTCCTCAGACCACCTATGCAGGAACACTATGAGTTGGAACCAATTAGAAGGCACTTAACAGCAACAACAACAATAACAATATGGAAACAGACTGCTACATTGTTCAACCTGAAGTAGCTGGTGGACTGGAACTAGTAACTGTGCAGCAAACAAGCACTTTAACCATGGCACAACCAGTGCTTCACATTGACCACTATCATCTAGTTGACTCTGACATATAGTGACCCTGTAGAGAGTCACTTTTGATACTGTAAACCTTACTGGAGTAGATAGCCTCATCTTTCTCCCACAGAGTGGCTGGTGAATTTGAACCGCTGACCTTGTGGTTAGTAGTAAATACTTATCCCACAGTGCCATCAGGGCTCCTATTGAATGCATTTTGTTGCCATCAAGTTGGTCCTGGCTCATAGCGATGCTGTATAGGGTTCCAAGGAGCAGCTGGTGGGCTTGAACTGTTGACCTTGTGGTTCACAGTCCAGTGCTGATCTTACAGCACCACACCAGGAGTCCATATTGAACACATTGTTGTTGGTGTTGAGTGCTGTCAAGTTGGTTCTGACCCACAGCAACCCTGTATTGCAAAAATAAACACACATTACTTAACAAACAGTTACTACCAACGGATGCCTGGGCATGCCTCTGGCCGTGATGGGTTTCTGTTCCTGGTACCATAGTATTTTAATTTTTACATTGTTTCTCTTATCCTTAGCCAACTGGATCATGACTCACAGTGGGCGCCAACAATATGCAAGAAGTCCATATAATTAAATATAAAATTTTATTGAGAGATTTTAATAAATGAAGAGATAAAATTTTATTGAGAGATTTTAATAAATGAAGAGATAAGTCTTACTAATAGAAAGGCTCAATACTGGAAATAAATCATTTTTCTCAAAATTGATTAACAGATTTGATACAGTCCCAATCAAAACTCCATCTTTGTGTGTGTATAGACTTATTAACATGTGAAAACAGCGTCAACAAAGGCACAGACATAACGTAGCATATAAACAACATGACTTTGCAGAGATGAGATTTGTTTCGCAAGAGCTCACCTCCTGGCGGGCTTGCTTTGGATTCAGAGAGGCAGGAAATAAAAACCCAACGAACGCCTCAGAACATCATGAAGGAGATTCATAGCACCTTATTGTCTCCTATGGTGGCCGGTTGAATCTCTGGTAACCCCTCCACTAGGAGAACCTGTACCACCTTCCAGTCCTGCCCAGGCTGATATAGGTAGCAGAACAAAGAAGGCAGCCTGCTAACTGTTTATAACTGACTTACCTAAGTAAGTTACATGATGCACGTGGCCGTCAAACCAATGGGGTATAACTGTACACAAGGCCACTTACAAGACCCTTGACAAACTATTAGATCCTAAAGAAGCTATTATGAAGCTGTGAAGAGGTGGATGTCCTGGTACCTCAGGCACGGCTCCGAGAGCATTCATACATCCATGACATTCCAGGCCTCTGGGTACCCAACTCTGCGATTATCTTCCAGGAGGGACCCTGTGTGAGCGACAGTAAAATAAAGAACCACATATTATAACATCAATACAACATGCAAAAAAGCGATATAACTCTTTAGCCACAACCCAGGGCAGCCCACCAACCCCAAGGGAGTCCATTTTACTTGTGTGTGAACCAGAATCTTCAAGTGTCCCTAAATGTGTGATTGTGGAGGTTCCAGGCAGCAGGAGTCATCCATGTGACTGTGTTGGCTGACTCTGTTTTCCATGGATGCCCAGATATACTACTGGCAGACGACTCAGAGCACACCCAGCAAGTGGACTTGTTGACCACTGTTGCAAACATGTATCCATTCATCATAGGTATTTCTAGCTACCCACCTTGTTGTTGTTGTTGTTGTTAAGTACTGTCGAGTCGGTTCCAACCCATAGCGACCCTGTATAGGGTTTCCGAGGAGCAGCTGATGAGCTTGAACTACTGACCTTGCAATTCAAATGGCTTTGCAGTCTGGCGCTTTAACCCCCAGTGCCACACCAGGACTCCAGCGACCCACCTTAAGGATGATAAAACAACAAGCATAAAGGAACAAGCAATGGTAAATTCCACTCATCCACCAATATGCAAGCCAGCATCTTGTCAGCAGACAACACTGTAACTGCTTTGTGATAGGAACTTGGCCAGGTGTACCAAAACCACATACTCATAGTGGTGGGCTCCACTGAGGGATTCACATGTAAGGCTATTGGCAAGACATGCACAGGCCATAATGACAAAATAAATGTCCCCCATAGCAAACTGGATGTCCCCTTGTGTGTCATAGTCACCTCAAGGGGGGCAGGGGACGAGACTGTGCTGTGACTCATGGATGAATCACTAGGTTGGCATTCAAAGCTGGGTCCCAGGGGGTCAACAAAGCACACTCTTGTTTCACAGAGGAAAAGGTCCATGGCCACGTAAGGGTTTCCACTGGGTCAGGTGTGATGGCCTCAGGTGCTGGCAGCCAAAGTTTGCTTTGGGTGCCAAATGTAAGTCGTAGCAACTCATCTTTAGTCTGGACCTGTAATTGCAATGGGGTGTGTCTTCCACTGAAATAAGTGCTTCCAAGGGAGCAGGGCCCCCAGGCATGGCTCACGTATTAAGAGTCTATACCACATCCCACAAACGGGTGCATCACACCTTCAAGAGTGGGTGTCCATCCTCAAGCTTCTCTTCAAAGGCCATCGTAGCAGCGGTCAATCAGCCCTGCAGCCTGCGGGTGGTAGGGCACGTGGAACTCCCAGGTTATACCCAAGTCATTGGTTCACTGTTGCACCTTGATACTGGTGAAGTGATTCCTTGGTCACTATTTGTTACCTGGGGGCACCAGTACTCGGAGCACAGGTGACACAATCCGGCAATGGTGGCCTTCTGATCTGCATACCTGCTAGGGTAAGCTTGCGGCAATCCAGTGGTGGTGTCTCACAAATTAAAGCATAGCAGACCCCTTGTGACAATAGCAATCGATTTGCCAGGCTCTAGGAGACTGTAGCCCCTTTACACAGTGCCCAACCCCATCAAGGGTCGTGGTACATTACCACAAGAGCACAGGATGCATGTTTTACAGATGTCCAGTGCTGCTTCAGACGTCAGCAGCAATCCCCATTGCTTTGTGACCTCCCACATAGTCTTTTGGCCGGCGTGTAATAACTTCTCGTGCAGCCATCCCACGATATCAGAAGCTGAGGCTTGTTCAAGCCAACTCACCTTCCCTAGGTTACCTGCATCATCATTTCCTACGGAGGCCAGAGAAGCATGATGCAGCACAAACTGCTTCTTTGTCCCTCAGTCCATAGGTCTGCCCATAACGCCATGGCTGATTGTCCCCGTACTGGCTGATGCTGCACTAGCCGCTCATTCATGAACCATGGGACGAGCCACAACATCAGGCCCTTAAAACAGTCCAGCTATCTGTACAAATGGCCAGAGGGCCCTTCTCATGCATGACCACAAACCATACTGCAAATAGTTCAGCTCACAGACTACTCTGGTGACTGCCTGCCTCTGTGGTTGTTTCGTAGGCCACTGGCCTTCATTTAGGAGGCTGCCCCTTACTAGACCTGTCCATATAACAGGTGTCAGCTGGCACAGGGATCTTGCCTTCTTTATATGGGCTGACCAGTAGCATCAGTTCTGAGGAACTAGGACTTTCTCAGGATGTAACATATTAACAGGAGGGAGCAGTTCCTGGAGAAGGATATCATGCTTGGTAAAGCAAGGGTCAGTATGAAAGAAGGAGACCCTCAATGAGACAGATTGGCACAGACTCCAACAATGGGCTGAAACATGGCAACAATAGTGAGGATGCACAGGACCAGGGATCTCTGAGTCTGAAAAATCACAACAGCAGCCTTCTAATCTTTTTCCTTTCCCAAAGGACCATATTCATACAGGGAGTCCTCTGCTCACTCTTAAGGAAGACGATGTTGTTGTTAAGTGCCATGGAGTCGGTTCCAACTCATAATGATAGTGTATAGGGTTTCTGAGGAGCAGCTGATGGGTTTGAACCACCAACCTTGTGGTCAGCAGTCCAGTGCTGATAAGATCCTTTATGACCTCCCTTTCCAAAATCGGCTTTCCGAAAACAATCTGAAGTGTGTCTAATCAAAGGATACTGTGACAGTTTAAAGATAACTTACTTAAGGATTCTTTCTAGTGAATATTCCCAGTTAAATAGTGAAGAATGATTCAGAATAATGTTTGAAATAGCCAATTGTTGCCTAGAGTAATGTTCTAGAAACATATAAACATATAAGCAACTGAGACTCCTAAAATTATTCCAAGTAGGTGGTTATCTTTATCAACCAAGATGGCAGGATAGAAAAGGTCAGGGAGGAGGAAAGGTCAGAGCCAAACGTACTGAGATTAACAGAAGGTCTGGGTCTGTGGTCATGTAAAGAGAAGACAGCTGTTCAGAAAGTGATTAACAGAAATGATTACACTGAGTGGTGCGTGGCAGAAATCTTGAGTGTGGATGGTAAATATTTTGGTGTCGATGACAAAAAGGTAAAAGGAAGAAATGTGTCCTCTCTGCCCTTTCGGCATGAGAACAGCCTTGAAGTTTATAGTTGGAACTTGGGGGAGGAGGCGGAGACAAACTGGAAAGACTCACAGGAAACCTCAGCCAGCCACCCGCCCCTGCCCCAGCCCCAGCCCCATTCCCCAGGAACTGCCTGCGAAGTGCTTAGGGAGGGTTTGGGGAGGAGCCGCTGCAGCATCAGCAGCGCCTCAATGCACCATGGGAAAATCCTTCCCTGCTTGGACATGGCGTTCCCCTGCTTACCGGCAGCAGCGGACTCAAGTGTCACAGCTAGCGGGTTCTGGCGGAAGAGCAGCCCCAGCTTTGGTCGCAGTGGGGAAGGGGGCGGCGGGGACAGTGGCGGCGGCACTACTCCAGGGGCAGAGTGTTAATGCTGAGGGCTCCTGGCGCCCAGGGAGGAATGGTCCTTTGGCTGTGGACTGTCCCCGCCTCTGAGTCACAGCAGGCATGGTGTCCCAGGCGCTGCAGCTGCTCCGGCAGGGCGTGTGGGCTGCACTCACGGGGGGCTGGTACCATGACCCTGAGCAGAGCAAGTTCACCAACAGCTGCCACCTCTATCTGTGGTTGTTTCTGCTGCTGCTGCCCCTGGCCCTGCACCTGGTGAGTGGTAGGTTAGAACTGGGGATACTTGGGGTTGGAAAGAAGAAGCAGAAAGGAACTAAAGTGTTGATAGTTATTCTTTAGAGGTGGGAAGAAGATCTTCAGAAATCTGGAACAGAGAAAGAACAAGGAAAGGAAGCATAAAGAATTCAGTAGATGGCAGTAGAAAGGATTTGGGGGCTCTGGGACTCATTAAGAATTGATTCCGAAGGTCAGCATGAGTCAGAGCCTTTACTCTGCTTGTCATTGGAAAATGTTGAACCAATTTGTAGCTGGACAAACACAGGCCTCTTGGCTGGCTAGCTTGGAATAATGTTTGGTATAAGGTATTTGGCAGTCAGAAGGCAAAATGAAATGTAAAAAGTCACCCTTACTTCAGTGGTGATCTGTTTTCCTCTTCCAATTCTGGTTGTTCTTGGAGAAGGCAGGCTTAATGATGAAATGATCAACTTGCACTTTCTACACCACTCTTTAATGAAGTCAGTAGAAACATATGCCGTGGAATGAATTGTGTCCCTTAAAAAATATGTGTCAATTTGACTAGGTCATGATTCTCATCTACAGTTATGTAATAATGTAATTCGGCAGTTTGGTAACGATGTAATCAGCCCCGATGATGTAATCTGATGTGATCAGTCCATCATTTGGAAGGCGACTAGGGTGAGATACAACACCTTTATCAGGTCCCAGTCCTGATCTGATTTAAAGGGAGTGTCCCTTGGGTGGGGGTTGCTTCACCTTTTCTATTCCAAGAGAGAAAAAGAGACAGAGTCCTCCAGAGGAGGGAGACCCTGTTACCACCAAGAAGAGATGCTGTTGTTGTTGTTAAGTGCCCTTGAGTTGGTTCCAATTCAGAGCGACCCTGTATAGATTTCTGAGGAGTAGCTTCTGGGTTTGAATTGCCGACCTTGGAGTTAGCAGTCGAGTGCTTATCCTACAGCTCTGCTCCAGGACTCTTAAGAAGGGTCTAGAGTGAAGTAAGTTCTCTGGATGCAGGGTCCCTGTGGTGGGGACTTCCCAGATCCCAGATCAAAGGAGAAGGAGGATTAATGCCAAGACATATATGTATGTAGACCTTCAAGGAACACTGGACCCACAGAAGTTGAAAGAAGATGAACACCTTCCTCTAGAGCTCACACAGAGAGGAAGTCTTCCTCCAAACCTCGCACCCTGAATTCGAACTTCTGGCTTCCTAAGCTGTGAGGGAATACATTTATTTGTTAAAGCCATTTACTTTTGGTAGCTGTGTTATAGAGAACTAAGAGAACATATTGTTGTTGTTAAGTGCCATCGAGTTGGTTTCAACACATAGCAACCCTGTAGAGAGTTTCTGAGTAGTCCTGTTGTGGCACTGTGGGTTAATGCGCCAGACTGCAAAGCTGTTTGAACTGCAAGGTTGGCAGTTCAAGCTCACCAGCTGCTCCTTGGAAACCATATACAGGGCACTATGGGTTGGAATCGACCCGAGGGCACTTCACAACAACAACAGAGATTTTCTGAGGAATGGCTGGTGAACTTAAACCACCAACCTTGTGGTTCAGCGCATTAACCTACAGTGCCACGCCTGGACTCATAATATTGGATGAATGTAGTGCACTGTATGCTTTTAATCTTGACCACAATACTGATTTGAACCACAAGGATGGTTCAAACCCACCAGCCACTCCTTTGAAACCCTATACAGGGATGCTATGAGTCTGAACTCAGTGGCATTTAACAACAACAACAACAATGCTTTTTATGCACTTTTTATAGTAATTTGCTGGTACCGGTTAGTAGATTTTATAATAAGTGAGTACTTGAGGAATAGCTGTGTGGCTGACGTTGTTAAGTGCTGTTAAGTCAGTTCTGACTCTTAGTGAGCATATTCAGGTTCATTGTGACCCTGCATAGGGTTGTTTTCTGTTTGTTTGTTTTTAAGTTTTTATTGTGAATTGAGTGATAGTTTACATGGGGGAATATCAGTTTTACATTCATCATTTCACGCAATGATTCCAATCTATGTGCATTACCATAAGTATTTGCTTCTATTCCCTCTGTTTTTTTGGGGGGGTGGGGAGGGGTTGGTGGTATGTACACAAAAACACTCAGGAATAAACAACCAAAGGGCACATTCTTGCATTGGGTTTTTGAGTAATGGTGGCAATTTAAATATATTCAGTTGAAACAATTGTTAACTTTCTTTGTAAATCTTCACAGATACAATGTCTATCTCTATGTCTTATTAAAATTTTTGTGCCAGAAACCTATTTTGATATGTCTCTAGAAAGAGTTTCTTGCTTTCTTCATGATTTGACCATGTTACCCGCAGCAAAAATCTTCAGTGAGTTTGTATGGCTGGTAGATTTCTGAGATTATCCATGATTTGGCCCTGTTTTACTCTCTTTCTGATAAGAGTAAGAATTCTGGTTCTGAAGTCAGGTTGCCTGGGTCAAATTTTGGGCCCCCTTCTTCTTTAACTTTGGAGAACTTACTTTATCTGATTTTTTTATTTTCTTAACTATAACACTGTGAACTTGAACGAAAGTTACAGGGCTGGTTTTGGTATTAAACCAAAAGCCATATGGCTGACTTCACCTGCCATCAGACCTGGGTTTAAATTTCTGTCTGTTGTTTATTAGCTGTTTGAACTATCTGCATCTTGATTTTCTACCCTTAAAATCGATGCAATAAGGGTGACTTTATGGGGAAATCAGATGAAATGGTATATATTGATGTATTCGTACAGAGATGGGTCTACCAAGGCCCTTCAGTAAGTGCAAAGTTGCTTCTTCTTCTAGATCTTCGCTCACTGTTTCTCCTCAGTCTTTAAGTTCCAACATTTTTCTTTTGCCTGAAGGGGCGATAGAGCAGGGTGACAAGGAACGCAGGCATGGTTTCAAATCCTGGTCCTACTGCTTCTTAGATGTGTGGGATTGAACAAACGTCAACAAACTTCCTGTTTTATACAGCAGGGCACTAATGTTATTCTGTTGTTGAGTGTTCTGACTCATAGTGACCCTGGATAGGGTTTCTGAGGAGCAGCTGGTGGGTTTGAACCGCTGACCTGCAGCTAGCAGTTCAGTGCTTGCTCATCCTACAGTGCCACACCAGAGCAGTAGGCACTATTGTACCTCCCATATAGGGTGTGTATGAGATTAAATTTATTAATAAAGTACTTCTCAGCACCTAGCACATAGTGATGCTCAATTCAAGCTAGCCCCACCCCCTCCCGCCCTCCAGCCTCTGCACATCTTTTACTTGCTGAAGCCACAGTGTTCTTCACAAGCCATCATAAAGGCCGTATCCTCTGGTCTCTACAGATATAATAACTTCTCTTCTCTCTTGATCTTCTGCCGTTCTGTATTTACTATTAACATTAGGACATATTTTGGAATATGTATTTTACCTCTTGCTCTAGACCATGAACTTTTTGAGGTTATGGATTTTGTGTGGTCACCCTGGCTTTCCATGTCACACCCAGCAGAGTACCCTGTATTTGGTCAACACTCATGCCATATAGAATGATCTGGGGGAAAATAAAATCAACCGATCAGCAGTTGTTGTCTATTTCACCTACATATTTTCAATAAACAGATGCTGATTATAAGAACAGTAAATATTTTATCCATAATCCCACTCCTTAACAACTACCACATTAGCATTTAAACTATGTTCCTCTGGATTTTTAAAGATGCATATTGGTTAATTTTACAGAAAAACACCTAAGGTTTTATGCATATGTATGTATGATCAGAACACTTGACTTCTACCTATGTATGCTATTTTGGGGAATATGGTGGCACTGTAAGATAAGCACTGGACTGCTAACCACAAAGTCAGAGATTCAAATCCACCAGTCATGCAATGAGAGAAAGATGAGCTTTTCTGTTTCTGTAAAATTACAGCCTTGGAGATAATCTCCAGCCTTAGAAACACTCTCTTGGCTCACTATAAATTGAAACTGACTGAATGGCACCTAACAACAACACCCTGCTATATTGAGCAGGATTTTATCTTTAGTTAAGTTTCTCTTTTATGATGTTGTTGTTATGTGCTGTTGAGTTGATTCCGACCCATAGTGACCCTGTATAGGGTTTCTGAGGGTGTAAATTTTTACGGGAGCAGAAAGCTTCATCTTTCTCCTGCAGAACCTCTGGTAGTTTCGAACTGCTGGCCTTCAGATTAGCAGTACAATTGGTAAACATTATGCTACCAGAGCTCCTTATGATAGTGAACATTAATTTTTGTCTAAATCTTCAGGTTTTAGAAAGTCAAGAACTGATCATTTTACTCTTGTATTGGATGTCTAAAAAGTCAAAACAGTCATATAAACAATTTGATATCTTTGTACTGTTGTTGTTGTTATGTACCGTGGAGTCAGTTCCGACTCATAGCGACCCTGCACAGGGTTTCTGAGGCTGTAAATCTTTACGGGAGCAGAAAGCCTCATCTTTCTCCCACAGAACAGCTGGTACTTTTGAACTGCTGACCTTGCGGTTAGCAGCCTGACTTGTAACCACTACATTACCAGAGCTCCTTGTCCTTATTCTTTGTTGTTGTTGTTAGGTGCCATCGAGTCTGTACTGATTCATAGCGACCCTATGCACAGCAGAATGAAACACTGCCTGATCCTGGGCCAGCCTCACTATAACCTCACTCCTTATTCTTTAGGTGAACATAATTTAACTAATGCTGATTCAGTGTTTAAGTTTAAAATAAGAATGCTGTGGGGCTGTTTCTGGCCTTATACAAGTTCTAATGTTGTTGTTGTTGTTGTTATATGCCGTGGAGTCTGTTCTGACTCATAGCGACCCTGTACAGGGCTTCCAAGACTGTAAATCTTTACAGGAGTAGAAAGCCTCATCTTTCTCCCGTGGAACAGCTGGTAGTTTTGAACTGCTGACCATGAGATTAGCAGCCCGATTCGTAACATCTATGCTACCAGAGCTCCCACCAGCTTTATTCATAATTTTTCACAATCAAAAGATGTTGCTCCCATTCTGACCTTTATCGCTTGA